CAGCTCAGCCCACATATACAGTCTTTATGGGATGTGTCAAATTCTGACATAGCATAACAAAACACCTCTGGATGGCCATATACTGAAATAATAACATTAATATAACTATAATAAACCAAATAAAACTGTTATAACAATAACCAAATTAAAGTATCATTAGCAACTTAAAATATGGGTAAGTACCCATAGTAGAACTGCATAACTTCAAAGCAAGAGAAAAAGTGCTTAAGACATCAGCCTAAGTCTAACTAATGGCAGGTAGAAAATTAAGACAAAATCTCTCCTTATATGTCAATATAAGTGAAAATTAAAAGGAATGATGTGATATTAACAAACTCCTATAAAGAATGGAATAACAATCTGGTTTTCAACTAAGACTTAACACTGCTGGTTCCCTCTGCTTCTATTATACTGCAGTGCCACCAAGTGGCAGACATACATACTGCAACTCTAGGACCGCTAGCTGAATTCTTTCATCACTCAAAAATGGCAACTGCTATGGACTAAACGGTGTCCCTTCAAAATTCACATTGAAGGTCTAACTGCCAATGTGACTTTATTTGGAGACAGGGTCTATGAGGAGGTGATAAAGGTTAAATGAGGTCATAAGGGTGGGGCCCTAAACCAACAGGGCTGGTGGCCTTATAAGAGGAAGAAACACAGCACTCTCTCTCTGCACTCACACAAGCGTCCAAGGCCACATGAGCACACATTGAAAAGGCAGCCATCTGCAAGCCAAGATGAGAGTCCTCACCAGGAACCAAATCAGCAGGCACCGTGACCTCGGATCTCCCAGCCTCCAGAATGGTGAGAAATAAATTTCTGTTGTGTAAGCCACCCAGGCTGTGGTATTTTGTTACAGCAGCCTGAGTGGACTAATACAGCAAAGCTCCACCTTAATCCCAAAACTTTTCTCTCTTTATAACAAAGATAGTTATTTAAAAATCAGGAATAGAGCCAGCCCTGATGGCCTGGTGGTTAAAGCTCAGTGCTCTCATCACTTCGGCAGCCAGGGTTCAGTTTCTGGTGGTGGAATCCCAGTCTGTCAGTAGCCACGCTGTGGCGGCAGCTTACGTAGAAGAACTAGAAGGACTTACAACTAGAATATACAACTATGCACTGGGGCTTTGGGGAGGGAAAAAAAAAAAAAAAAATCAGGAATAAAAGTCAAAAGACTTGCCTGTAAAAATTCTAATCCAAAAATTTACAGAAGTCAAATCTTTTCTGACAAGTTCCTTTATCAGCTAAAAGAGGACACAACTTAGATCGGAAAGGTTAGAAGTTGGAATTAATTACTATTATCAAAGGGAAATTTTTTTCCCTTAAATTAAGGGACTATGGTTCTACAGAATGCCTGTGCTTTCTTCAGAGCAAGACAAAAACTCTAAAACAGAAGAGAAAAAGTCATATTGATCCAAATCAGAAATGTAAATGTTGGGCCGGCCCTGTGGCTTGGTGGTTAAGTGCGCGCGCTGCGATGCTGGTGGCCCGGGTTCGGATCCCGGGTGCGCATCGAGGCACCACTTCTCCGTCCATCCTGAGGCCGAGTCCCACATACAGCAACTAGAAGGATGTGCAGCTACGACATACAACTATCAACTGGGGCTTTGGGGGGAAAAAATAAAATAAATAAAATCTTTAAAAAAAAAAAAGAAATGTAAATGTTATTAGAAAATACATATACTTAAAAATCACAAATTCCTTCTGTTTTCATCTGTGCTTGTGTACGTTTAGAAATACCCATTTACAAATACTCCTTGGCTGCCTATATCGTAGTAGTCAAGAACATGGACTCCAGGGCCCAACTACCAGGGTCTGCATCCCTGCTCCGCTGGTTACGAACCGTGAGACCTTGGGCACGTTACTATAATTTTATTTATTTATTTATTTTACCTCCCCAAGCACCAGCAGATAGTTGTATGTCATAGCTGCACATCCTTCCAGTTGCTGCATGTGGGACGCGGCCTCAGCATGGCCGGAGAAGCGGTGCATCGGTGCACACCCGGGATCCGAACCCGGGCCGCCAGCAGTGGAGCACGCGCACTCAACCGCTAAGCCACGGGGCCGGTTGGGCACGTTACTAAACTGCTCTATGTTTCAGTTCCTCACCTGTAAAACGGAAATAACAACTTCCCATAAGAGTTGTACCCCTCCCCACAAGATTCTCTTGAGATCCTATCATCCACACTCCTTTCTCCCACTACCCATGCCCTAAGAATAAATTTTATTTGCTTTCTTACAAATTATGGCGATCTACAGTCATTACTGAAATGAGCACCACATGGACAAGACAACCTTTTATCTTAGTATCCCAGAGCAGAGAACAAGTAAGATAAACCGAAGTGAAAACCGGGTGCCTCAGTTCACAGGTTAACTGCCTCTCTCACTCTCTCATACCCCAAACATCCTATTTCTGCATCATGCTGACTCTTTACAGTATAGTGTATAAAACTCGTCGAATGGAGGGTTGTAGTGGAAGGTGCAGGTAGATCCCTTGGGTTGGGGTACTTCTTCAGTTTTGCAAATTTAGGTATTTGATTTCCTCCAAGTTGCCCCAAGAAGATCCAATTACAGAGACAGCTGATCTCCCCCAATTTTGCCTAAATTTCTGTTATTCCAGTTACTGTAGTGGCTTTTCTGGACCAGGACAACTATCTCACTGCTGTAGGACTAGTCTAACTCCACATACAGGACTACAGATCAATTCCTCTAAGTAGGATGCTAGAGTTCCTATTCTGTCCTTCCTTACGAGCAAGAAAACAACAAAGTTTGAGGACATAAGAGGGAAGACTTTACAACTGCCCCATTTTATCTCCTGCCATCTACAGAAAGGAAAGGGAAAGCTCTTAGAGGATATGACAATTCCTCACCTGTTTCCTAAAGAGCTTTCGATTTTAAGGAGTATGCATAAACCTTCTCTTACTTGGATGTAATGGCTTTGTCTAAAGCTGTTGCAAATAGTTGCTTAGATAAGCTGTTCCATACTGAATTTAAAAATGCAGCATTTTCAATTGTTTTCTAAATCCTACTCCAAAGTAAATCACCACTAATGGTTTTTCTATGGTAAATAACCACTAGTGGTTTATAAGAATGTTAACTATTATCCCTCCCTAATAATTCCACCCAAACTTAAACCAGTCAGTGAACAGCACTGCAGGAAAACATTTAGTCAAAAAAATATAAGCCAACAGATCCAAATGAAATATGCCATAAAATCCATATTGCCATCTCAAAAATACCTCAAATTCAATCACTACCACCTTAGATTTTAAAGATGTTACTTCTAGTTATGAAGCCCTTAATAAATTTATATCTTACAGAGATTAAGTGACTTTCCCAAAGTCTCTAAGCTATTGAGTAACATGTACCAGAACTGCACTGAAACCAAAATCTTACAACTCCTAGGCCAGGTCTCTTCCTATTATACTGTATTTCCTTTTAGTCAACTTCTCAAATCTCAAGGATAAGGCATAATGTGATACATTATAAGGAGCTGATAAATAAGAATACAGTACACAACCTATCACAAGGTATTATATAATTAATGCCAAGCAAATGACAAAGACAACACTTGCTATTAAAGTTCAGAAACCACGGTGGGCTAGAGCTGACTGGTTAGATTTAAAAATAAGTAGAGGGCCGGCCCTGTGGCTTAGCAGTTAAGTGCGCACACTCGCTACTGGCGGCCCGGGTTCGGATCCCGGGCACGCACCGACGCACCGCTTCTCCGGCCATGCTGAGGCTGCGTCCCACATACAGCAACTAGAAGGATGTGCAACTATGACATACAACTATGTACTGGGGCTTTGGGGGAAAAAAAAGTAGGAGGACTGGCAAAAGATGTTAGCTCAGAGCCGGTCTTCCTCAGCAAAAAGAGGAGGATTAGCATGGATGTTAACTCAGGGCTGATCTTCCTCACTAAAAAAGAAAAAAAAAAAAAAGAAAAGTAGAATTTTAAGTAAAAATGAACGTTAGAAATTATCCATTCTGTAAATTATGAATTATCCATTCATAATTTATAAATTATTCATTTGTAAAACTTCATTTTACAAATAAGAAACTCAGGTCTGTATACAGAGCTAGTTGGCAGTGGTCCTTCAGGGAAAAAGGATAATTTGAGCTAGGTCTAGAAAGGTACCTAGGGGCCGGCCCCGTGGCTTGGTGGTTAAGTGCTCGCACTCCACTGCTGGCGACCCGGGTTCGGATCCCGGGCTCGCACCGACGCGCTGCTTCTCTGGCCATGCTGAGGCCGCGTCCCACATACAGCAACTAGAAGGATGTGCAGCTGTGACACACAACTATCTACTGGGGCTTTGGGGGGAAAAAATAAATAAATAAAATCTTTAAAAAAAAAAAAAAAGAAAGGTACCTAGATAGGATCTCAATAGGCAGGAAGAAGAGTGGACTTTCCAGGTAGGGAAATAAGATAAGCAAAAGTTTAGAGGCTGAAACAAATCAGTCAAATTCAGGGGAAAAAGAATAAATCCTTTTGACTGGGAATAAAGAAAGATAAATTTAGGAATGGCTAAGTTCTGTGTTGGGGGTAGTGGAGGGAGTTTCAACACTTAAAGAATTAAACTTCACCTTATAGACAGTGGGAAGGTAGAGTGGGTTTTAAGCAATGTAAATTTCTTAGAAAAGTCCAAATTGTGCACTTGTCTGGAAGCCAAGACTACCAACATAAAACAAGTTTTAACTAAAATGTTTTACAAATTGCAAACCCAATTCTAAAAGGAAAGGTGGAGAAGATACCATCAAAAAAAAGGAGTTAAAAAGATAATCGAATAAAAAATGGACAATGAAAGAAAATGGAAATAAAGGAATAATAAACGATAGAAAGACGTGGACAAAAGAATCAACAGTTATATTATAAAAGATAAGTTACTTCATGCAGTCAAGTTCTGGAAAGAGGATTAGTCGGTCCAAACAAGTAAGCCTCTATGGCTAAAAAAACACTTAAACCACCAAATGTTACTGTGTTTGAAACTTCAATAACTCACCTCTCTAGCAGCACAATCATGAGGAGCTTCTTCTTTATTTACTTTTCCTTTTGGAAATCCCCAGCCTGATTTTGCTAGGTACCCCTGAACCAGTAGTACCTACAAAACAAGCAGAGGTAAAAAAACTTGCCCTCCTTTCCCATGCTTCTTTCTAAAAGCCAAAGTTGTTTCTCTCCTTCAGATAACTGTCATCACCAATAATTTTACACAGTACTTGGTTGTACTTGGTTTAAATATCTTCCACGAGTCTGAATATACTACTAGTAGGGTGAAGAAAGACATTCTGCCCATTTTAAAGTATTTCTTCAACAATGAAGTGACAGTGACATGACGCTTCTTGGCAAGAAGCCATACTGCAACACATATAAAATATTATGACCTAGAATGCAGACAAAATATGAAAAATTTGACCTTTTAGCACTAAAAACCTAAGTATACTTTAAAACCTCAGGTCAGAACATTATAGAAATACATATATTTTATTAATAGGATGAAAATAGCTGATCACTATTTCACTAAAAATCTTTTATTATACTCACATTTTCAAGTGTCTCATCAAGAATAATTGCACCATATGTTGGTACTCCCATTTTATATTCCTTCCATTCATCTAAAACTTTTTCCACATCTTCACCTTGAGGCAGCAAAAATGGACAATGACTGAAGAGTATACATAATGTTAAGGAAGCTACTTTCTCCCTTATTACAGCTTGAGCACTTAGATACAGAAAGAGACCTATTTCCATCAAATGTGTATTTTATATGAAATTACTCAAATCTTCACCTCACTTAAGTTTATCCTTCCTGTTTTTGTTTTTTCACATTGGTTTTCTCTTAAACAAGTCATTGCTAACTTCTGCATTTAGCCAAGACACAAATCAAGTAAGCTTTAGATACCCACAGTCTGGGATCCCTAAGTTAAATAAATTCAGGACCATGTGAACACCTCAAATACTTCTCATTAAACAAGTCAAATTCATCATATCAGGAGTCAACAGATACCAAAACCAATAGCAAGAAACAGAAACCCAGTCAGTACACACAGATCAGCAAGAGGTAGAATGGTAAGAGTGGTCAACTCGGGAAAGTAAACTAGGGAGGAAGTATACCACTCTATACTGCTGAATTTCCTTACCATATACCTATATTGCTTTTATAATTAAAAACATTTTTAAGATGAAGATTTACTAAGGATATTAGAGAAAGGTAAATCTGGCTATTAGCCTGTTTCAAAAGAAGCTGGGCCTGCCCCCCACCTAAAATTGGGCAGATTAACTTTTTTTAAAAAGTAAATAAAACCTAAACGTGTAAAGTATATGCTCAGGCTTCCAATACTCCATGCTATCAAATGCCTCATCACTACAACACTGTTAATCATGAAAAGTGTGGGAAAAACTACAATTTATGCTAGTGCTTCTCAAACCGAAGATATATTCTTAAGGGTCCTCAAGTCCTCTACAAAAACTTACATATTCTGTGTTTTCGTTTTGACATTAATCTAAAAACATGTAATAAGAGCATATTTTCAATCATTTGGATGATCACATATATCAAGTACTACTAGTTTTCAGAGACCATATTGGTACTAATAGTATCTTAACTGTTGTGGGCTACTAAAAACAGAAGAAATCTAATATGCAAATAATGTTTTAGGGTCAAATGATTTCCCAACATAAAGGAAAAGTTTCATAACAGATGGAGCAAAAAAAGGTGGTGGAAAAACTAGTAGTACAGGCATGGCAAAACACCCTTAAAGAAGTCAGCATTATATTCACATTGTGATTGACGGTTTGGTTTAAACAAAAACATCACATTAAATTCACTTTATGAAAATAAATTTTACGAGTTCTGCAGCTTTGTATTTTAAAATCTGTTTTGGTTTTCTAGTTGTAGCAAGAACTAAAGAGGCCCTCAATGGGCCCAAAGAAGTCAACCATCTATGACAACATTGTGATTAAAAGACAGGCACTAGGTTAATCTCAATATAACTATTCCATGCCTTCATTTGGGGAGGAAAAAAAAAAAGGGGGATTAGGTTTAGATACAGTAGTAACCATTCCATGAAGCCCTATGGTTCTACAGGGGCTTGCTAAGATTCTGCAAGGTATTTCCCAATAACAAACTGGCTGTAGATGTTTAGTAAAATCCCTTATGTGTTTTAAAGTCATCACAGATTTTAAGTATAAATTTTATATAAATGGATATTTTTTCCATTAAAAACTTAACCACAGAGAAAAACATATAAAAATACCCAGGAACAGAGATAACTTCCAATAGTTTAGAGAGGAGGATAGTTATCCAGCTTTTTTCTTTCTCTTCCTTCTCCCTACAACGTACCTAATAATTTCAGAGTGCATCAGCATCTCCACAAATCAGTGTTATCTCATTTTTCTACCCATTAAACAACTGCTTTAAAAAGAATAACAAAAAAAGAAAGGTTTAGCCAGAGAAATTAAATCAACTGACTTTGGGGCCGGCCCCGTGGCTTAGCGGTTAAGTGCGCGCGCTCCACTACTGGCGGCCCAGGTTCAGATCCTGGGCGCGCGCCGACGCACCGCTTCTCCGGCCGTGCTGAGGTGGCGTCCCACATACAGCAACTAGAAGGATGTGCAACTACGACATACAACTATCTACTGGGGCTTTGGGGAAAAAAGGGAGGAGGATTGGCAATAGATGTTAGCTCAGGGCCGGTCTTCCTCAGCAAAAAGAGGAGGATTAGCATGGATGTTAGCTCAGGGCTGATCTTCCTCACAAAAAAAAAAATAAAAAAAAAAATAAATCAACTGACTTTACTTTGGAAACTATTTACACTCTACATTTATCCATCTTTTTCTACCCCAAAACCACCAGAAAATAAGTGAGTTGACTGAAACAACCAACTACAGTTCAAGGTATACTTGGAATTAACGTTGAAAAGAACCTGTTAAGTACTTGGCTCAAGTCCACACAATTAGAAAGTAACAGAACCCAATCCAAAATGACGTCAATTTCCCCACTGACAACTCTTCAATCTTCCTTCATACTTAACAGTACATAAAAGTAATTCAATTCAAACGCTGGATTGGAAATTTTTTAAATACCATTTTTATTTAATGAGATAATGCATTTAATTCAAGAAAATCTATAACATGTAATGAATAATTATTATCATTTCTAATTTTTACTAAAATTCTTAATTGACTATGTCTGATTTTCTTAACCCCCAAATCAAATTATTTTGAGTCTTGAATCTGGGTTACTGGGCCTTACACAGTAGTTCTAAGAGAAAGATAGAAGGTTACTCTGATTAAAGAATATAAGAATTTTAAGCACATGTCCACTTGTATTACATATATTCTTTTTTTTAACAATTTAATGAGTTTTATATACTCTTTTTATTCTAAACACTTTTGCAGAAACATGAAAAATCTACCCTAGATATAAACAATCATTTAGACAGTAATCTCCATTCAAAATGCTACCATTACCTTAGATGGTATCAATTTCTCCATGGACAACCCCTCTCAAGCTCTAGCCTCAGTTCCCTGTATTCCTTGTCCTTCACATCTATTCCCACTTACAGGACCAACTCCCACAGCAACAATCCAGACGCTGCCATCACTAGAACTATTCTGGCAGTTTGATTAAAATAAAACATCTTGATCATAACTTTCTATGGCATTCTTTTGATTACTCGCACTATACCGCTATTCTACATCAATCTTTGACTGTTTTCCTTTCTGATATGAGCTTCTATTTTCTTCCTTAAATATAGTCCATCACTGTAATCAATCTCTTAGCAATATCCAAAATTCCTTTGTCCCATTGTTCTCTGAATATAGCTCCCTAGCAAAACTCCAACCCAGGAACAAATCCAGAACACCCAATCTATAGCCATAGCGCTGAGTGCTTACTGAAGAAAAATCACAAGACTATGCACCATTTACAAAAGAGAAAACAGAGGCATAGAAAAGCCCCACAATTTGTCCTACGTTGTATGGCTAGTAAATGGTAAATGGCAAAGATGGGATGCTAACCCAAGGAATCTGGCTCCAGAACTCATGCTGTTAACTTTATTCTACGCAGTCTCTCCACTTCAGTATACCACAGATACCACAAACCAACTTGTCCACGCTGAGCCCATCATTCCCCTACAAAATTTCCCCTCCTTTATTCTTCTACAAATGGAATGGCACACCCATCCACTCAACTGCGCAAATCAGAAACCTGGGAACCATCCTTGATTCTTCCTTCCAGTCTCCTCAGACATCCAAGTTAACAACAATCACTCAAATTTAACCTCTTCTATTCACTTCTATCACAGGTTTCCATTTCACTCTCAGAAATTAGTGAAATAGCATCTTCACTAGGTTCCCATCTCACCTTCCTATAATTCATTGCCTACACTATTCTAGAGTTGTCTTTCAAAACACCCCTAAAAAGAAATAAAGCAAATGTGGCAAAACGTTAACAATGGGTGAATATATAAGAAGGGTATGATGGCAGTTTGCTGTAATATTCTTTCAACTTCCCTGTAAGTTGAAGTTTTTTCCCAAAATAAAAAGTAAAGTTTAATTGTAAAAAAATCTCATATACTCTCTATAACTCTTATGGATGAAGTCCAAACAAACATGGCCTACAAAGACCCTTATATGCTTTAGCCCTGACTTACTCTCTGGCTTCACCTCTTGTCCCACACTCCAACCACACACTTGTCTTACTCTACAACCCAATTATATTTAACTTTTTTCACTCTTTCACATAGATCTTACTCACAGAGACCACTTCCTCCAAAGAAAACTTTTATGGAACTCCCAGTCTGGGTTGAGTATATCCTCTCCTCTGTTCCTACTGAACCTTGTACTACCCTATCATAACTTACCATACTGCACTATAATCATTTCCTTTCCTGTCTCCCTCGCATCTTCTTGAAGATAGGGATGTTGTTCACTGCAAAATGCCTGGCACAGGGGCCGGCCCCATAGCATAGCAGTTAAGTATGCAAGCTCTGCTGCTGGTGGCCCAGGTTCGGATCCCAGGCGCACAGCGATGCACTGCTTGTCAGGCCATGCTGAGATGGCATCCCATGTAAAGTAGAGGAAGATGGGCACGGATGTTAGCCCAGGGCCAGTCTTCCTCAGCAAAAAGAGGAAGATTGGCATGGATGTTAGCTCAGAGCCAATCTTCCTCAAAAAAAAAAAAAAAAATGTCTGGCACAGAGTAAGCACTCATTTAATGAAGTCTACCACATTAGCAGTAAAGGTTTTTTCTCCATATAACCGAATTAAAAGAAACGCAACTAAAACAGAGGTTTCTGACTTTTTTTAATAGGAAGAGAAGTTTAAAACTCATGTGCATACACACACAAAATCTTATCTACAACCCCCAAGTATATAAAGGTTGCTCTGGTAGAAGCCTAAGTCTATGCAAAACAGATCAAAACCACAGAAGAGGATTTGCCAGTTTTGATCTCGATTATAGCTCCTTAAAAGCAAAGCTGTCCATGATTTCTCCACAGAACCCACTGTCAAGCCTTTAACAAAGACACTGCTGAATAGTACTTCTATTACCCTTGATTCCTCATTTACTTTCCCGTATTTAATTAAGTCAAATAGTTTGAGCATTTCTTCCATTGAAATCTGTCTCTTTAGTCTTTTCTTTGTAGTCCCTCTACTATGGTTCGGAACCTTACTGCTCCATACCAAGCTATGTAACAGTCTACCCTATGGTTCAACCTATCCTGCCAAATAAGTCTTCTTGAATACTATTTCAAATGATATTCTTTAGCTTTGCTCAAAAACTTGGTATGGTGAACAGTTATCTAGAACAAAGTGTTTCATCCATTTTCTGAAGAGCCCTAGGAGGGTTCCTTATTTCATGGGGCTCAAGGAAAATTATAAGGAGCCGAGTATGAGGGTTATTTTAGGTCACCTATCCCTACTCCAACTCTAGTGTAGTAAACTTGTGGGTACAATTCCATTTGAATACACGATTTATGGTTAAAAAACGACCTACAGAATAAAACTCAAAGCACTTTGGCTCAAGACTTAAGAACCAACAAATACTCCCTATATACCTTCTATCCGTATCTCCTATTATATATATCCCCATAAGAACCCTCTGCTCAATACAAACTAATTTACTTCCTGAGACACCCCTTAATCCTTTTCAACCCTCCAATTTTGCTTAATCACTTTTCTTTACCTGGAATATACTATCTACTTCTATTTAGAAAATCCTATATTCCCTTAAAAGTGTAAATTTGCCTAAAATCTTTCTACCTTCTTTCCAAATTCTAAAAACATCTAATATCAGGACCATTAGCAATTCATTAATTTTTTGCCTTGTGAGACAGCTTCTTGTATAATTTTAAATATTTACATGAATCTTTTATAACTAATAAATTATGACAAGCTTCTATCTTATTTGTAAATACGGGGCTTGGGGGAGCTTCTTTGAAGGCAAGGATTTCTTTATTTGCCACAGAACCAAAAACACTGCTTTGAACACAGTAAGTATTCAATAATTATTTTAAAATTTCTATCCCAGAAAGGTAGTAATCTGATTAAAGATCATCTGGTTAAATGGAACAGCAAGAGAAAAGTAAAAACAGATCAGTTCTAGAAATAGGCTAGCTATTTATAAAAGAAAATCAAATTAAATTCTAATCATCAGTGCACACTTCAAGGGGTCCTCTACATAAAAATAAGAATACTATTAAATTGTGTCTATTATTTACATTTGACAATTTTTAGAAATCAAGTATGTTTTATCTAATAGGTTATAAATCTGAAAGACAAGCAAAAGGAAATTTGTGCTAAAATACTTTATTAACAAGAATGAAAGACCAGTCATTATAGTAATAAAAAGGATATCAGCTTTCGCAAAGTCTCTTATCCCACACTGAGGTAATCCTGGTGTGTTCTGCATGTAGAAATCCAAGTAAAACCAATGGGCAAGTTCAATCTGAAAACACACTCGGATAGCATTGTCTCTTTCCTCGCTGGGAATATGCAAAATAAATCGGCTGTCAAAAACAAAAAACATATAAAAATTACATTTACAAACCATAAAAATTTATTTTAACCTATTTAATTGCTTCATTCCTGACCCACCAACACGGAAAAGGGACCAAGAGCAGTGCTAATCAAGGAAGCAAAATTTGGGGGAAATTCCTATAGGGAAAACGAATCTGGAAAAAAAGAAAAAGAAAGATATCATATGTATCTCACTCAGAATTTTCTTAAGAGGCTGTTTACCCTCTTAGTACAGAGTGTACTTAAGTACAGAGATAAACTTAAGAACTCACTAACAATAAATTAAACGTGCACAAGAAAACAATCTTCACTAGGATTTCCTCACGTCTGGTAATATTTTCTAAGAATATAGGGAAATATGTTCACACAATCAAATAGAAAAGACGTTAGCTACTTAATATTCACATTTAAATTATTACAAAGAAATATGAGAGAAATCTGTTCCTCATTAATGGACTAGACTTCCCAAACAGCCTCATCTGCAGATCCTGAGTTCAAGCTAACTTTCACATATACTCACTTTTAAAAATCCTAAATTGTCTTTTTTCCAAGTACATTCAGTGGGGCGGGGGGGACATATTTATTATATATACTATAAATGTATACTATATGTATGTATGAGATCACGAATGTGATTTACAGCAGTCGTTAAGCAACCACCAATTGCTTCTTCCACTGCATAGCATTTTTGATAATCCTTTTTTCCAGCGAACTTTAGAGACAGATTGAACTCTATAAAAGATTTTTATAGAGTTCAATATAAAGTTTCAATATAGAGTTTTTAGACTCTATCACCCAGTTCATCAGTTACACTATTCACTAGGTATGGTGCTAAATGTTCTTGGTTGCTTCCAAGTTTCAAATCAAAAAAATACTTCTGGGGGCTGGCCCAGTGGCGTAGCAGTTAAGTTCGCGCGCTCTGTTTTGGCAGCCCAGAGTTCACAGGTCCAGATCCAGGGCTCGGCCCAACAGACTGCTTATCAAGCCATGCTGTGGCGGTGTCCCATATAAAGTAGAGGAAGATATAGCCCAGGGCCAATCTTCCTCAGCAAAAAGAGGAAGTTATAAGAATAATGTAACATTCCAATAGGGGAATGAATAAGTAAATGGTAGGACAAATGTATGTACAATAATCTACATGTCAATATAGAAAAACTATGGTGAAAAGGAGCTTAAACTGCACATACACTAAGAACAAAATGTAAACCATGCAACCCTGATGGTATTATCTAAGATGGTATTATCTAAGACATAAAATCTGAACTCTTTTATATGGCATTTGATATCTGGTGGCTGCTCACCTGCACAACCTCTTATATCACTCTGAGGGTCTTTACACTCAGCGATACCTAATTTTTGGAACTGTCCTAAATTGCCATCCACATACTATATCTACTCTTCCTCTTCTCTTGTCCATCTAGCAAACTCCTAATTCATCCTCCATAACTTAGAAACACTGCCTCTCCTATGTAGGTACACCAGACTCCTCTGAACAGATTTACGTACTCTCTCATACTCCCACTCCATTACAGCAATTATCTGATTTTTACTATTACTGTCCACAAACTCTTCCAAATTAGTTCACTGAGATAATGTACTATATCTTTGCATTATTCTTATTCCCATAGTCAAGCAAATTGTCTGACATATACTGATAGTGACACAGTCATATTTATTTTTTAAATGCTTACACAGGTTCCTATTCCTGGTAAGATGGAGCAAGCACACTTCACTTTGTCCCTCCTAGGAAACGCAGCTGTAAAACCTGGACAAAATGCATGGAGTAGCTATTTGAGAACTGTGAAAAGTAAACAGCAGCAGGAAGGCTGGGGAAGACGACCAGTATTGAAAGTGAATTTATCATTTTTCCACCCTCTAGTATTCCCTAGCTGGACTGGGGGTTGGAAGTGGGCACCAGCAGGGAGAGAGAGAGCTCCAGAAGCCCTCTAGCTCTGCCTCTAGGATCCAAAAAGGAAACTAAAAGGGTCTCCTCAGAGACAGTGGGGGAAACTCCCCCTTTTTTTCTTTTCTCTGTTCTCTCATGCCCCAACCCCCAAGCAATGTCATCATGGTTACAGAGGTGGCAGCAATAGTGGCTGCCACAGGGACCCACTGAGGCTACAACTCTGAGAAACAGGAACCTTCCTCTCTGACCACAAGAGCTGTGTAGCCCCAAGCGAGTACGGCCAACCTCCATTCCTTTCTTTCTTTTATCCTCTAGCCACTTGGTCCCAGACATGGGCAGAGTCACATGAAGCGTGTGGCAGAGTGGCTTTCTAGCCATAGGACCAAAAAGGGAGACTCAAGGAACCAAGAAGTATCAGGGAGATAGCAGAGGAGGAACAGCTCAGGAAAATGGCCCCAAGAAATTGCTTATGAAGTCTGGGGCTCAACCCCAAGCTACACAAGCTTGAATTAGACTATAAACAGCACACCACAGACTTTGTGAACTCAACTACAAGAGAGACCACTGCCCAACTCTCAGATGGGCTACTGGGTGGTATACACAGGACAAACAGCACTTTGTTCTCCCCATAATTAGTAAAGGTCTCATCACTGTCTTTTCTTCGTTTCCTTTACACTTGTCACTAACCCCACCTTCCACCAACCAAAAAATTTCCACCAAAATTTTTTCTCAAGATGTTAATTCACATGCATCAGTTTCATCTTGAAGACTATCCCTGAGCCTTCTGATCTGTACCAGTTGTTGTCCATACCTGATACATACCTGTCCTACGAACATCCTATGATGTCCTTTCACTAGCATCCTATAGTTCCCTACACCTCTATTCTATATAGATCTCATGTTTCTTGTACCCTGTCATCCTCCTCCTTAATTTACATCCTTGTTTTCACGAAGTACATCCTCTCATACCTTCTAGAGGAAGGATGCAGGGGAGATAAATATTGAGACATTACACATCTGAAAATATCTTTATCCTCACACTTGATAATTTAGCTGGGTAAAGAATTCTAGCTTGGAAAACATTTTCCTTCAGAATTCTAAGGACAGTGCTCTCTCCTGCCAGCCTCCAATTTTGATTTTTGTGCGTGTGTGTGTGAGGAGGACCAGCCCTAAGCTACCATCCAATGCCAATCCACCTCTTTTTTTGCTGAGGAAGAATGGCCCTGGGCTAACATCCGTGCCCATCTTCTTCTACTTTATATGGGACGCCACCACAGCATGGCTTGACAAGCAGTGCGTGCTGGGGATCCGAACCAGTGAACCCTGGGCCGCCGCAGCAGAGCACGTGCACTTAACTGCTTGCGCCACCAGGTCAGCCCCCTCAATTTTGATTTTGAGAAGACTAAAGCCATTTAGATTCTTAATCCTTTGTATGACCTGTTTTTTCAGTCTGGAAACGTCTATATTCTTCCTTCTGTCCCCAGTGTTCTGAAATTCCTCAATGTCTATTTTTTTATCCACTGTACCAGCCATTCAGTGGATCTTACCTACTCGGAAATTCACATCATTCAGTGCTGAAGGACCTCATGGACTGATCCTCTTATGATTCTTTATTTTTCTCTGATATTTCTTACCTCTGATTCCCACCCCTACACACACATTTTCTGGGAAATGTTCTTAACTTCATCTTGCAAGGCATCTATTGAGGTTTTTGTTTCTGCTCTCATATTTCTAATTTCCAAATACTCTTTTTAATTGTTTAAATTATGTTTTTATAGATTATCCTGTTATTTCACGGTTGTAAAAATCTACCTAAGGAGATCAATGTAGTTTTTTTAAAAAGTTTTCTTCTACCTGCATAATTTGATTCTTCCTATAGCTTTTTTTTCTGTTAGTTTTATCGTTTATCTTAAGAGGCCTATTTCTGATGTTCATATTTAAATGTGACAGATCATAAAGCTATTTAAGAGGGTTGTCAAACTGAGGCACCATTTAAGATGATCAGGCTGAGCCATTTAATTGAGGAACCTCCAACATCAGTATCTTTCCTCACGGGCTAGACAGAGCACCGAGGGAAGAACCTTCCAATCTCCTGCCTGGAGGGTAAAGGCCAGGCTGTCAAATTCTGAGAGCTGAGCAGGAGAAGAGGGCTGAGGGTTTTCAGTATGTATATAGGATGTATAAAGTCACTTCTGCCATTTTTCAATATTATCCTGTTCTGGAGTGGACTGACACTACTCCAGGAGTCTCTCAGGTCACTCAGGTCTACCAGGTCTGCTAAGGCATATACCACTTTCCCTTCTGCTTTACAGTTCCCAAATTTTATTGTTCATCTCTTATTCTTCCTTTCCTTGCAAGTTTATGCATTTAAAATTTAAAAAACAAAAAACTTTACTCTTTTACTAGAGTAGATGTTTGTGTTCAATCTATTATCTTTAACTAGAAATTCTCCTTCATGTGCAGCTATGACACACAGCTATCTACTGGGGCTTTGGGGGGAAAAAATAAATAAAATCTTTAAAAAAAAAAAAAAAAAAGAAATTCTCCTTCAACAAATTTCTAGAAGACACTAACCACAACCTAAAATGTGGTAAGAAAATGCCTAGGACAAAGAGAATTCCTATCCCATCCCCATCCCAACCCAGAAAAGCCCCAAGCGAAGAAAGGTAAGCTAGAGGATGGGAACGCTAAAAAGGTCTAAAAATGGGAAACAGCAAAGTCTGTTTACGTGATAGAAGAATGTCTACTCCTCTTGCACTCCTTTGACAGCCAGGAGTTTCTCCCACAAAAGAATGGGGGGAGAGGAGGGACAACAACAGAGGCTCATTTTTTTGTGTGTGAGGAAGATCCGCCCTGAGCTAACATCTGCCAATCCTCCTCTTTTTGCTGAGGAAGACTGGCCCCGGGCTAACATCCGTGCTCATCTTCCTCCACTTTATATGGACGCCGCCACAGCATGGCTTGCCAAGCGGTGCGTCAGTGCGCGCCCGGGATCCGATCCGGCGAACCCCAGGCCGCTGCAGCAGCGGAGTGCGTGCACTTAACCGCTTGCGCCACCAGGCCAGCCCCCAGAGGCTTTTTTCT